ACCTTTTTGAAATTTCAGAGTACCGTGGCCGTGTGTTGCCAGATTAGCGTTCTGAATGGGTATCAGGTGTCCACACGGTAGGTTGCCTTCCTTATGGAATTTAGAACATATTTTACATTCTTCTTCTGTTTCGTACATGGTAGCTGAATTGGCTTCAGCTGAATCGCTTTCTGACTCATCATCCGATGTTACACATACTACATGTGCCTCCTTAAATCGTTTTATAGCAGGACAGTTACGTCTGGTGTGCAAATAACATCCACAAATATAACATTTTACTGCATTTTCATACCTCTTTAACTTGTTTTTTCTATGAGCAATCACCTGTTCGATTCTTTCATTAAATTGTGGGCTTTTATCACAAGGTGCGTCGTCACCATGTGTTTTGTTACAGTGGTTGCAATTGATGGTCTTTACCTCTTTTTTGCCATACCTAAAGTTTTTGTTCTGAAATTTCTGTTGGTATGGTTTTGCATAGGCTGCTGCTCCCACTTCTATCAAATCAGAACTTGATAGCACGAAGATATCAGGGTGTGCTGCAAAATAATTTTCACCTACTTCTTCTAAAGAATCTAAATTTGTTGGCTTATTTTCCTTTAGGAAAGTTGCCATTGCCTGTGGAAGAGATTCTAACATTTTACATCTTAACAACAAATCAACCAATAACTTATAGTCATTTTTTACATTGGCTGCTTCAACCCATTTTTGGAATATGTTCTGCACTTCTGACAGATAGTCTGCAAATGTTTGACTACTTTTTGGTCTCAAATCGTTGAACTGTTTTCGGTAGCCAGCTTCGTGCAGGTTGTAATGCTTCATTAACCTCTCTTTGATATAGTTGTAATCTAGTCTTTTGGTTTCCGGAATTGTTTCCAGAATCTTTAAAGGTTCAAATGCCAGGTGTTTTTGAAAGATTAAAGCGTAGTCTTGCAATGGGACGTTATGCATGTGCATACCTAGTTCGAAATTGGCTATATACGCTCCGATGTCGTCTTCCTTGCAGTAATTTCGGACTATTCCTGCATATTTTTTGAATTTGTTTTCTTCGCTTTGATTCTCTCTTTTTCTATGGCTGCTTCTCTTTTTGACTCATTTTCCATTTCCTTTGTTCTGATCTGAGTTTCTGCTTTTTCTTTGTCAGCTTGTATTTGTGCCTCCAACCTCTGTTTTTCCAGCTGTAATTTTTTCTCCTCAATCTCTTTTTGTAATAGTAACTCTTTCTCTTTACTTTCCTTTTGTTGTAGTAGTTCCATCTGTTTCAATTCCGCCTCTTTTACTGCTTCTTTCTCTTTGAGACGTAGTTCGTGTTCACGCACAAGTCTGCGTTCTTCTCGTTCTTCTGCTGCTTTTCTTAATTGTTCTTCTTTTTCTTCTGCTGCTCTTCTTTTTTGTTCTTCTTTTTCTTCTGCTGCTCTTCTTTTTTGTTCTTCTTTTTCTTCTGCTGCTCTTCTTTTTTGTTCTTCTTTTTCTTCTGCTGCTCTTCTTTTTTGTTCTTCTTTTTCTTCTGCTGCTCTTCTCCTTTCCTCTTCTATCTTCTCTTTATGTTTTTCATCCACATACTTCCTTAACTCTTCGCCCTGAAGGCCCAATTCTTTACCAATGGCTACCCATTCCGCCATTTTTGACTTGTAGATGTATACAATATTCCTGTACAAATATAACAATTACAAATGCGTTCACAAATATTACGCTTAATAGCAATGCAATCACACCCAATCAAATTAATATGTGATATATAATCACTATGTTTAGCTGAGTAGTTTTCTACCTACTCAGAACAATAATATCAACTATGAACTTAATTACTCAACTTTTTTAAAAAAAAATTACTATGGCTCCTATCGAGCTAAGACACAGTCTATTCTACGGATCCTTCTTTTAGCTATAGCACACTTCTCGGCTGTAACGGAAATATATTGAACGAGTCTCTTGTAGATCGTGTCGTGCAATTGAATCTTTCGGTTGGTAATGTCACTTCATTAATTGGCCACTACCCGTCTGAATTCATATTGTGGTTCATCCTGGAAGTAGTGTACTTTTTGAAAAATAGCGGCACTCGTCTATAAGTTGAACATGGGTGTCAATCTGAATAGTTCATGGAAACTGACTGTCTGTTCTAAAGACTTGAAGGAACTCACAGCAAACTGTTCTGCACGTGCACTCGTTCTACCTGTGCTACAGATGTTCGTTTAGCGGTGTTCCGCTAGCTGCATGTTAGATCAGATATGTGGATATAAGTCGGCTGTCCGCTTGACCAATGTCACTCAGCTAGATGCCTTGTCTTAACACACTTACGTTATGTTAGCATGTTTAGTGATCACTGTACTTGGTGGCTGTTGCCCTTTGCAACTACTGTTTCAAACACTGGACTGATTGATGACTAATTTGATGTTGTAATACACAGTATAGTTGTTACGATCACACTGTAACAATACGCAGTATAATTGTTACGATCACACTGTAACAATGTGTAGTATAGCTGTTACGATCACCTGTAATAATACGCGGCATAGTTGTTATGATGCCACTGTAACGATACGTGGTATAGTTGTTATGATGATACTGTAACGATACGTGGTATAGTTGTTATGATGATACTGTAACGATACGTGGTATAGTTGTTATGATGATACTGTAACGATAACTAATTTCGACACGTTACCCAGTGGCGAATTTGGCCATCCTTACACAGGAAAAATGTACTTGAAATTTCTACACATTTTCTTGAGGTAAATTTCGACACAGCAACTGGTGTTACCACGGATGATGGCTGTATAGCGGCCTTGACCCAGTCCCCCACTTACGTCAACTCTGCAGCCCCGCTTTGAGCTTTGAAGTTTAACTGGTCCAACTGGCCGGGTTTTTGGTCACTACACTGACCATGTTTGTCGTTGCTTGTTCTGAACAAATAAATTTTGACTAACAACTGCTGTTACCTCAGACGATTACTGGAAATCGACCTTGACACAGAACGCCACTTACATTGACTGTTCAGCTCCGTTATTAGCTGTCAAGTTCAATTGGTCCAATCCGCTGTGTTTTCAGTGATGTTCCGGTTATCTTCTGTCGTTGTTTTTTGTCCCGGATGTGTCCGTTTTAGAGCCTCCACTTGTAATGTGCTCATCTAGGGGTATGTGTTGTTTACATTGCTTTCAGACGAACAGTGAGTTGAAACGACACAGCATGAACGAATATTGAGTTCTTTGCTTTTATTCGTTGAATCGCCAGTTATCGCAAACATACATTCATACTTCCTCGTGCCCGACTTGCTTGGCTGAATCTAGCGATCTGGTCGGACTTCCCACACACTACAGGAATTTATCAGCGTCTCTCGAACCATCCATCTGTACTTCATGTACTCTGGTATCTGACATTACGACGTATGGAAACACATTCAATCCTCCTATTGAAATATAACGTTCACTTGACAAATCATTTATTCTTCTCAGGCGCTCATTCACGCGTCCTCTCTCAGTCAGGGCAGAACTTCAACTGTCTTACTTCAGTCTCTCGGTTCACGTCTTCCGTTCACATCTCATGCTTTTCTTGTGTCTCTCACTTCGTTCACCATGAGACACACGAGACTCATTTCTCCCGTTTTTCTCTTCTCTCACGGGTCCTCCGACCTTTTTCTCTCCATCGGGAACTCTCTGGGGTTTCCCCGGGAATTCACAACGTGAAACATGTGTTAACAAGTAACAATAATTCTGGTGTTGATAGTTCCCCAGCGTGGAGACGGTACTCACGGCGCTGCAGGATGAGTTTGAGGTGTTTAGAGGCAAGAAGTCCGCCTTTGCCTTCCGCGTTGGTGTTTGTATACTTGGGTTCGTCCTGGGCTTACCCCAATGCACAACGTAGCGAACATTAAAATATATATCCTGGAACCCAGTACATACTATTATTATGCATATTAAAGGTCCCTTTTCCACGCCTTTGTGCGTACAGGGCATATAGGGCTAGACCTACATTTTTATAGACCAATCGGCACACAATGGGTGATGCGGTCAGCATCACGACAGCCGCCTTTACATCCCGTGACCGGTACCCACTCAAGGCTAGGTCAACCTGGGAGTCAAGGTCTTTTTTTTAAAAAGTCCGGCTCAGCCAGGGAGCGAACCCACGACCTTCCGATCCGCACGTCAGCGTCTAGCCGCCACGCCTGGGCGAATCCCATTATGCATATTGATAAACATATATTTCTCGTTGAAACTTGAAAAAAAAAAATACTGAAAATTTTGATGTTGTTTAAATGACAATATGTAAAACAAGAAAATGATCCGAATTTCTGCTAAAAGATCTTACAAGCATGCTGTTTTGAATTGATGTTCTCATTATTATTATTATTATTATTATTATTATGTAACTGAATAGCCACAACCCCTGGCTGTATTTAACCGTCTTTCTATCTAAGGCCTGTTAAAACTGCATAACTGTTTGCTCAATTATTATGTGGAGCTCGATGTTTTCTGATCCTCAAGAAAAAGAAGTTACTGACTGTCTTGTGTGCAAATTTATGTTAGTGCACATATTTCTTCTAATGTAACCTAATGTTGAATGTTAAATTAGGAATCGAGATCACAGCACTCGAGATACTCCGATAAGTGTTCAGTCCCTCTCTTCAGCGGAAAGCGACGAGTTGCAATTCCGATGGTACCAGTAAATGTCTGATTGTATATGGGTCACATCATTCCCCTGAGTGTTGAGCGTCGGCCAGATCCCCTGGTAACTCCTCGCAGCGTCATTCTCCCTAGACTGTTATGATCTAAATGCGACTCCGCACTGTTCATCTGTTCCCAAAAGGCCCTCACAATTTCTAACTCATACATCAATTCACCACCAAGTGGTGCAGAGCCAGCCAGTCTATCTGCCTGCTTATTTCCCAACATATCGGCAAAACCTGGAGAAAATATGCAAAGAATGCTAACTACCCGGAACCTCTCTAATGTAACTGCTGTTGTGAAACATGTGTTAACAAGTAACAATAATTCTGGTGTTGATAGTTCCCCAGCGTGGAGACGGTACTCACGGCGCTGCAGGATGAGTTTGAGGTGTTTAGAGGCAAGAAGTCCGCCTTTGCCTTCCGCGTTGGTGTTTGTATACTTGGGTTCGTCCTGGGCTTACCCCAAACCACACAGGTGAGAATTTCCATGAAATAGTCAAATTTATGTTTTTGCTTCTGAGACCAGTATTAATGGAATGGGGAGTTGCCGTGGTGCAGCGTCTAGACGCTCGCCTGCCGATCGAAAGATTGTGGATTCGGGTCTGACGGAGCCGGACGTTTTTTCATAAATTGACCTTGGCTCCAAGAACGACCTAGCATTGAGTGGGTACAAAAGCAATCCCGGTAAGCGCTCCGTCCCCATCTTCAGCAGCCAGGGAAGAGTTCCGATTCTAATGGTGCCAGTAGCATTCTGATTAAACGTCCGTCTTGCCTTTCCTCTGAGCCTTGAGTATCTGCCAGAACCTCTCGTCACTCCCCGCTGCATCTATCTCACCAGACTGTGGGGATCCATCTACTCCTCCGAACTGTACACGCTCTTCCACAAGGCACTAACCACATCTGCCTTATCATGTATCAGTATTCCACCAAGTTGTGCAGAGCCAGCCAGTCTGTCCGCCTGTTCATTTCCCAACACACCAGCGTACCCCGGTGAAAAAATCCATACAATACTCCTCGCTCGTGTCTTCCGCAGCGAAGCATGCCACTCTGCACGAAGCATACCTGTTCTGATCTTCCTCAGCATTCTTTCTGAATCAGTTACAATCACGATGTGTGTGTGTGTGTGTGTCGTGTTCTCTAGCCTGTGGAAAGCTGTAGTGACCGCCTCCACTTCCATTCTTAAGGTGGATGTTGTGATATCATATGCTAGGCTCTCCTGCACCAAACGTCGACCAATAGCTTTTGCTAAGAAGCCACATGAACTTCTTTTGGCTCTTGACACCCTACCGTCTGTGTAAGTGATCAAATCCCCTGAACGAGCATTATCTTGAATTTATTGCTGAATTCCCACCTCTGTGGCACCTACTGACCACTCTCTGCATTCCCGGCTCAGCGTGATTATGACTCTACACAAGTCTTACTGTTCGGATGGTACTTTGACCCACTCCTCTCCTCGCCTAATGTTTGGGGTGCAAAGAAACGACCCACTGTCTCTCTAACAAACATGTCGAAAAGGGCGACTAATTAAAAGAGTTTCATTCGAAGTCGGAATGCATCTGCCTGAGAGGGGAGAAACCAACAGTCTGCACACAAATAAAATAGATGTGTAAGACAAATATGCGTACAAAACTTAAGTTCTGCAGCAAGATCTGAGTCAGGAAGTGGACGAAAAAACTAAAGCTTTCTGCTGGAGTTTACGGTCGGTGAACGCGAAGAAGAAGAATAAGATGAAGATAATGATGATGATGATGATGATGATGAGGATGATAATGATGATGATGAGGAAGAAGAAAAAGAAACAGAAAAAATAGTATTAGTAGTAGTAGTAGTAACAGTAGTGGTAGTAGTAGTAGTAGTAACAGTAGTAGTAGCAGCAGCAGCAGCAGTAACAGTAGTAGTAGTAGTAGTAGTAGTAGTAGTAGTAGTAGTAGTAGTAGTAGTAGTAGTAGTAGTAGTAGTAGTAGTAGTAGTAGTAGTAGTAGTAGTAGTAGTAGTAGTAGTAGTAGTAGTAGTAGTAGTAGTAGTTGAAGACGAAGACGAAGAAGAAGAATATGATTCTGATAAGGATGAAGTCATATTTCACTTGAAAACTGTAATTCATATGACTGCAGTATGTGTAAGCTCTTGGAGCCTCTGTGTGGTGTAACGGCTAGACTCCCGCCTGCAGGCCCAAACGTCGTGAGTTCATATCCTCATTGAACCAGATTTGTTTTTAACACAAACGACCTCGCTTTCCATGCCAACCCAGCCTCAAATAAGTACCAGGTAAAGTCTTACGAAGTAAAGGCGGCCGCTGTAATGTTAACTACATCATCCACCAAATGCCGAGTCTATAAAAAAGTTCTAGCGCTATATACCCTATATCCTTAATTGCATCAGAAACGCACTTTACTTGAAAAGGCACTTTACTTTATATGTAAGGTATAAATACAAACGTTCACAATAATTCGCCTTTATTTGAGAAGTAATAATATACAGTTAAAATTAATGGGGCATCATTTTACGTACTAATGCTAATAATGTCAGGCATATATAAGCAACTGATGTCCAAATAAGTGTACTCCTAATGTTTATGAATAAATTATTGCGAATGTCTCTTTCAGGGAGGTAGTTACTTAATGGATCTCTGCAACATTTTTGTGGGTTTTCCCCTTCTTCTGGTCGGGCTGCTGGAGTTCGTGTCCATTGTTTGGATTTACGGTAATAGTATTATACATGTGTGTTATACATACTTTAGCTGACGAAGTATGTGAACTTAAACCTTCTTAACTTAAATAACATTTCAGCTCACGAATTAGTTACACTGAAACCTTGTTAACATAAACACAGTTTTGGTCCCAACAAGGATGTGTTATTATGTATGTATGTATTGATTTTTGGTCCCCTAAAAATGTTTTAACCCGTTCTCACAGTGTATGTATGTGCTTAAAGTTGCCAATGGACAGACTACATAAACATCAAACAATGTACCTGACATGGCTGTTGTTAGATCAGACAAAACGTCTTGTATTTGTTGGCACTCATAGATGCTGCTATGAGGGTAATCAATATCTGTCAATGTATCCTCCTCCCCCTTCTTCGCGTTCACCGGCTGTATGCTCCTGTGGAAGAATCCAGTTGTCTCTCCATTTCTGTACTTCATTCTGGTTTTAGAACTTGAGTATTGCCTGGTCATCCGTTTTACAGATCTAGCAAACAGACTGTTGGTTCCTAGCCTGTCAGGTCGACGAACACCGACTTCGAATGAAAGCCACCTAATTAGTCAGCTTGTAAGGGGGATAGATGGGTTGTTCCACCAACCACCAAAAAAAAAAAAAGAAGAAGAAAAAAAGAAGAAGAAGAAGAAGAAGAAGAAGAAGAAGAAGAAGAAGAAGAAGAAGAAGAAGAAGAAGAAGAAGAAGAAGAAGAAGAAGAAGAAGAAGAAGAAGAAAAACGAAAAAGACGAAGAAAAAGATGAAGAAGAAGAAGAGGACAGGTAAGGAGGATGAGGAGGAAGAGGATGGTGATTGAAAATAATAAAACTAATAATGAATAATAATAGTCATAAATTGTTTTAAAATGCTATATTAATACTAAATATTAGAATATATAAAATATTATTTAACTATTATTATTAGGAATTATTATTAATCGAATATAACATATAAAAATATTTTAAAATAATAAATATCATTATTTAAAATAATATATATATATATTATATATATATAATATATATATATATATATATATATATATATATATATATATATATATATATATATATATATAGGATTACTGCTGATTACATTTGATTACGTTGTCGATTGTGTTTTCATCAACAGGTGTTAAACGGTTTTCAGAAGATATTTTGCTAATGATGGGTGACTCGTACCCGAGGCGTGTCATCTTCTATTGTTACTACCTCTGGAACTGGGTTGTTGTAGCTCCACTAATGATTTTGGTAACTTACGGCTAAATGAAACTTTGAGATTATATTATCGTACCATTCTTTTATCAGATGTCAGAAAAAGACTGGCTTTAGCATTATTATGTTATGTTATGTTATGTTATGTTATGTTATGTTAGTAACAGCATCATAGCCAACGGGTCACCTCATAGTTGCTCCGCTCTTGTGCCAACGTAAAACACACAGCATGTTTTTCACAGTCCCTTGTGGAGAGAGACTGCTGTCTCAGCATATGCACTAGCATACACACGCATTAAAAGCATACGGTAGCCATTAGAAGTGCTAACACAAACAGTCCGACATTAGAAATGCAGTTCTTCATCGACGGTGGAAGAGGTAACCAACAAATCAGTAGTTGCACACACGATCAGTTTAAATCACAAAAAGTCACAACCAATACTGTGACGACAGGCCTCGCGCCATTTTCTGAATATACAATTAACACACAACACAACACCACGTTGGTCACAGTCGAAAAACACTTCAACTGAAATCCGCAGCTCACAGGGTCACGCCATGCACTCAACTCAGTAGCTGGGCGACGAAACTATATACTTTCAGTATACAATGGAGCAAAATATGCAGCGGCCACCGTCTGGCAGAAGCAAAAACTGCCACGACTCGAAACAGTGGCCGTTCCTAGCGTCCATTTTGACTGGTACAATGTCACTTTAGCATTGCGGAGACCAAACCACAGGAAGAGCATATGGCACAGCACGTAGACGAAAATTATAGGGAAACACAACTAAATAATTAAATAAATGAATACATAAATAACTAAAGATTATGCATCTTTCCAGTGGTAACTTATTGATCTGAGTTACAAACTTAGTTCAGTCACTAAAGGGGAAAAAAACAGATATCGGAGCTTTTGACCTGAAATGCTGCAGAACAATTCTTAGAACACAAATGAACAAGAAAAAAAAAAACCGTCCTACATAATTTAAGCATTGAGGAGAATTGGCTCATAAACAGCGTATTGCCCCTGAAGCTTATGTATTTTTGCCATGTTAGACGTCATAGTGGACTGAAGAGGGCAGTGATAGAGAGAACAGTTTCCGGAAAACGAGACAGAGGAAGACCTCTGTGAAGGTGGCTACAAGGCACAGTAGGTAATTTGACTACGGAAACAAAAACGGTTAGAAAATTGGCTCTTGACATATATATTTTCATGCCTGCCGTGAGGAGAGCGACGTTCTGTAAAGGATCTGCTGATTGAAGGTGACTAATACTTTGGGAAAGCAGCTTTTCCACCTCCTGGGAGGTTCGAATGCGCATCAAAAGTATTTTTTTTGAAAATGATAGAACCCACAAGACTATTTATCCAAGTAAGGAGCCAGCAAATGCTCTAGAAAAGTATTTTTAAACCTTTTTCCCCAATCCCCGTTAACAAAATTTGGAGGAAAACATCTAAATAAATCAAAGTTGGAATAAAAAACAATGACCAACAACTGGTAATTTAGTGTCTACATATCGATGGGATGTTTGACACTGTTTTGTCTTTATGATGTCTGACATGTGTTTACCTGATGTTGGACAACGCACATCGGAGATTATTCTTCACACAGACTTACAGCTCCGGTTTGTTTTTATGAGAGTTAAATTTTAATTTATAATTAAAATGAAAACAACATTATTACAAGTAAACTAAAAGATTATCACAAATGAACAGAATTTCAATATTGCTTAACACCCCTCCCCCCCCCCCCCCAGTCCCCCCTCCCCATGAAACTTCCTTGAGCTCCCATGTTGAAAACGACTGCTCTAAAAGAAAATGGCAGCCAAAGTGGTGCTGGCCACATCAACAAACTAGCACAGACAGATCTATTAACGTATGGATATATCATTATGCCATGATGTTGATCCGTTGTTCAAAAACCTCAAAACGTGAATACGATAGCAGGTTACACTTAACTGGTGAAGTCGTTGTGGGCGCCCTATTTATTTCTTCCGAGGTTAAACAGGGTATGTTGCTTGTTGGTCTGTCGTCCAGACTGGGGCTTGTAAATCTCAGGATGGTTTGATAAACCTTTAAAGTAGCAGTTTGAAGGAATAAACCGATGATTAGTTTCACTTTATTGACCAAACACCCGATTCAGCCATGTCGTCAAAGTGTCCCATAACACCAGGGTAACCGATACACATGAAATATAGCGGGTGGGTGAGGGGAGAAGGGAAGGCTTATGGGGGACCCAGTCCCACAACCACCACATCCCTTCCCGTCTTAGAAATGGTCTTGCCAGAAGCTCACAGGGGATCTAATCCAAGTTTAAAAGCCTAATAATAAAAAAACAAAAATAAGACTGTACTGGGTGCCAAAATAAAGGTCAAAATGAACTCTTGAATGAAAATACCTCACGACGAGAAAATATTACAAAATCAGAATGAGACAATGTATATTGTTTAATAAAGTCACAAAAGAAAAAAACTATATATAGAGTATTATATTCTTTGAACCTCTATTAGTTTGGTCATTAATGATGTCAAGAATCTAAAGTACCATGACATCATTGTGCAGACGAACTTGCTGACGTCGTTATGACAATTTGAAGATGGCTACCCCATTGCTGAAATCCACCAAAGATGGGCAGCTTTCTTTTATAGTATTTTGATCATTAAAGGAGTGATGCATTTATGTCAGTCCATACAGTAAAAAAAAAGTAGGGAGATGTGAACCAGCGTCATTGCACACGATTATAAACCATAAGTGTTCTGTCACCAGTACGGACAGCTGATAAAAAAATGTCCGCCTGTGTCGCTGTCCGCACGTAACTCTGTAGCTACAGCGACGTTACTCCATTTATCCCAGTGTGACTCTGGTACCCATTTCCTAGAGGCTTGGTGAACCACGGGAGCCGCCCGGTTTCGAACACCGAACATGGGCTGCAGCGAGTCCCAGCTGGATTTGAAAGCGAACCTTGTATCGACTGCGCTAACGTGGCTCCCGAGTCCATAAAGTGTATGAGTGAAGTGAGAATTGTGAAAACTGCCCGACTTCAGTGATAGACTGTTCACAACAGGGTCAAGACTGGCAGCCCTGCACCACCATAATGAACCTTCATTAGCCGATGAATTTCTACAGGTTTCACTCCTTCGCTAATCAACTGAAATAGCAGAACGCTGCTCTTCTTTGATACATGCCAAAAGTTGGGCGATCATTATTTAAACTTTCATTATGACGCCACCGTGTTTGTCTGCAACGTGATGCCACGTGCTTAACGCGCATGGCATCGTCAACAGCAATTCTGACAGGTTTCCAGACAATAACATTGCTTTGAACTCTTTCGTTTGAAGCCCCGTGTATTTTGTCTATGTTTCCACAGGCCATCATTATCTTTGAATGCGTTGATTATACGCCAATAACCAGCGACGAGTATCCAGAATGGGCGGAAGCTCTTGGGTGGATTCTGGTGGCATTCGTTATGATATGGACGCCTGTGTGGTACGTGACTGCCTTCCTGGTCGCATGGGCTAAACAAGGCTTTAAGGACGGATTGAGGGTAATGATACTACAGTTACAACATAGTTACAATATCTAATACTATATACAGATTAATGCAAGAGAGACATGAATGCTACATGTATTGAGGTAGATTGTTGTTAAAAAAAAAAGACGGGGGGGGGGGGGGGGGGGTTAATGCCATGGACCCTTTTGCGTGGAGGGGGAAATCAGGAAGGAAATAGAAAAAAAAAAAGAAACATATGGTAGCAGAAAGGTTGAGAGTTGAGCGTCTGAGCAGAGGCGCTCTATATACACGTGATGGCAACAACGTTCCTGAAGTTTCATGCCCTTCATGTGAAAGACTGTTCTCAACCCAGGTGGGTCTTGCTAGTCACACTCACCATCGCTGTGGGCTGTGATCCACAGGCCTCTCCACAGCACAATGAAACATTCCTCATCCTCATAATTAATTTCAATTTCTGCCGTTAAGCACAGTGGGGAAAAAAGAGTTTGCGATCCATTGCTTGATAGGCAGCCATAGCTATTGTAATTCCATGTAAGAGTTTGCGATCTATTGCTTGATGGGCAACTATAGCTATTGTAATTCCATATAAGAGTTTGTGATCCATTGCTTGATGGGCAGCTATAGCTATAGCTATTGTGATTCCATGTAAGAGTTTGCGATCCATTGCTTGATGGGCAGCTATAGCTATTGTAATTCCATGTAAGAGTTTGTGATCCATTGCTTGATGGGCAGCTGTAGCTATTGTAATTCCATGTAAGAGTTTGCGATCCATTGCTTGATGGGCAGCTATAGCTATTGTAATTCCATGTAAGAGTTTGTGATCCATTGCTTGATGGGCAGCTGTAGCTATTGTGATTCCATGTAAGAGTTTGTGATCCATTGCTTGATGGGCAGCTATAGCTATTGTAATTCCATGTAAGAGTTTGTGATCCATTGCTTGATGGGCAGCTGTAGCTATTGTGATTCCATGTAAGAGTTTGTGATCCATTGCTTGATGGGCAGCTATAGCTATTGTAATTCCATGTAAGAGTTTGTGATCCATTGCTTGATGGGCAGCTATAGCTATAGATATTGTAATACCACGTAAGAGTTTGTGATCCATTGCTTGATGGGCAGCTGTAGCTATTGTAATTCCATGTAAGAGTTTGTGATCCATTGCTTGATGGGCAGCTATAGCTATAGCTATTGTGATTCCATGTAAGAGTTTGTGATCCATTGCTTGATGGGCAGCTATAGCTATTGTAATTCCATGTAAGAGTTTGCGATCCATTGCTTGATGGGCAACTATAGCTATTGTAATACCATATAAGAGTTTGTGATCCATTGCTTGATGGGCAGCTATAGCTATTGTAATTCCATGTAAGAGTTTGTGATCCATTGCTTGATGGGCAGCTGTAGCTATTGTGATTCCATGTAAGAGTTTGTGATCCATTGCTTGATGGGCAGCTATAGCTATTGTAATTCCATGTAAGAGTTTGTGATCCATTGCTTGATGGGCAGCTGTAGCTATTGTGATTCCATGTAGGAGTTTGTGATCCATTGCTTGATGGGCAGCTATAGCTATTGTAATTCCATGTAAGAGTTTGTGATCCATTGCTTGATGGGCAGCTATAGCTATAGCTATTGTAATACCACGTAAGAGTTTGTGATCCATTGCTTGATGGGCAGCTGTAGCTATTGTAATTCCATGTAAGAGTTTGTGATCCATTGCTTGATGGGCAGCTATAGCTATAGCTATTGTGATTCCATGTAAGAGTTTGTGATCCATTGCTTGATGGGCAACTATAGCTATTGTAATTCCATGTAAGAGTTTGTGATCCATTGCTTGATGGGCAGCTATAGCTATTGTAATTCCATGTAAGAGTTTGTGATCCATTGCTTGATGGGCAGCTATAGCTATTGTAATTCCATGTAAGAGTTTGCGATCCATTGCTTGATGGGCAACTATAGCTATTGTAATTCCATGTAAGAGTTTGTGATCCATGGCTTGATGGGCAGCTATAGCTATTGTAATTACATGTAAGAGTTTGCGATCCATTGCTTGATGGGCAACTATAGCTATTGTGATTCCATGTAAGAGTTTGTGATCCATTGCTTGATGGGCAGCTATAGCTATTGTAATTACATGTAAGAGTTTGCGATCCATTGCTTGATGGGCAACTATAGCTATTGTGATTCCATGTAAGAGTTTGTGATCCATTGCTTGATGGGCAGCTATAGCTATTGTAATTCCATGTAAGAGTTGCGATCCATTGCTTAATGGGCAACTATAGCTATTGTAATTCCATGTCGATGTGGAAGCTCTTTAATGTCATCAATCCATGTTTTCCTAGGACGGCCTCTTGCTTTCACTTCAGATCTCTTTACGTGTAGTGCCTGCGTTGATATTTGTTTTAGCTGCATTCTCACTAAATGACCACAAATATAACATTATCATCTGGAAATACGGAATGATTTCAACTAAAGTTAAGCAAGGCCAGCATCTATTGCCTATGTGTAGTTTTTCTACAATCCCTAAAGCATGATTCGGCATTATCATGTGAAGTAAGCGACTCGTTTTCACACCTTCAAGCTTTTTAGGCAAATCTTTTTTTTATAGACCCATCAGCACTCGTTGTGCTATGGAATCACGTCACCTTTACTTCCCACTGGTTTACCATAGTATCCATCTAAGACTAGGTCGAACCGTGAGTCATATATCTAGGCACATATATATGTATACATATACCCGAGCATTTATATATCCATATATCTAAACCTATTTGTATTTATATGTCCATTTATATTTACTTTCATGGCTGTATTGGATGGACCAAGGCAATATAAATCTTCAACGTTGCCAGACAATCAACCACAAACATCGTTTCACGTTATTAGAATACCTGCATTAGCGTACATTGTTGGCTACCGAAAATTGTGGCTATAGAGATTACGAAAGATCAGTGCCGACAATTTTAAGTGTTTTATACTGATTCGAACAGTTTCTTTCAGTACACTGCCAGTTACTGTCCTGGGGAGGGGAAGTGGGGTCGGGGGGGGGGGGGGGGGGGGGGTGGCTGTCGCCACCACTGTACAGGCGAGGATTTTATTTTGCCAAGACAGAAAAGAAATTCCAAGCCTTACCGAGGATTCGAACCCGGGTCTCCTGCGTGACAGCCCAGCGCGCTAATCGTTCGGCCAGCCGCTCGTTTCTCTAAGTACTGCTGACAATTCCAGCACATGGATTTGCACTTCAGCTACTTTTAAATTCTTCCAGCATCATTTTGAAATGTTTGTTTGTTGTCTTAGTATCCAGAAGTAATGAGCTGTTAACCCTTAGGCTCGGTATTATGGATATCGCAACCTTTCGGCCTCGATTCCATTGTAAATACCGTCAATCTGGGAGCAATGTTGCTTTACTGCCTACCCCCGGGAGTGAACCAGAACCACAAGGAGTTCGTCACCCGGTCACCGCGCAGTCCGGTTTAGCCAACTAGGCTAGAGAGCCGGGCGCATCATTTTGAAATACACTGCAAGCAATGCATCTAAGCTAACGATCGTTTCCCTTTAGCTTTAAAAAACAAAGTTTTAATGAGTTATGGTAGTTAATCGAAAGTGTTTGTATATTATATGTAATTAAGTCTGAACATGGGCACCACTGTGGTGTGCGGCTAAACGCCCACATGCGGATCTGATGATCTTGTGTTCAAATCTTTGTGTGTTTAACGGTTGACCCAGTCTTAAATGGGTACCAGATAACGTCGTGGAAAGTAGAAGCGGCCCCTGTGATGTTCACCACATGACCTATCGAAGTCTATACACAAGTGAGTCGAGCCCCATGTGCCCTATCTAGCACTGGCGGGTAAGGGACCTTTTACTTTAGAGTGAACATAAATTTTTAGGACATTATTTTAGTCCCAAGGAACGCAGCATACGTTCATAAGTTCCTACCTAGAAGCCCAATGAACGCTTTATTACTTTCTTTACTACCTGCTGGGCCTGGGATGTTAAACCCCCTGGAACTCAAAGAGTTATATAAACAAACATACGTATATGTACGTCTGTTTAGACACACACATTTATATATACCATGTATGTATATTCATAACATTTCCTTTCACAGCTGCTTGCACGCTTGAATCAACCAACACTAAAATGGGGCCCGAAAGAGCCGGAGAATAGGACCCTTGAACGTTACAGGCTGTATCTGACCAATGGCAGTGACAAACAAACCCCCTCACTTAAGAAGCCTCCGCCACAAAGCCCCGACAACTCTCATTTGTCAGGACAACAAAATACTAATGCTCATTTTGCATTTACCTCAGATGGACCAAAGATTGTCACAAAACTGTAGTATCTAATTTATGCGACAATATATATATATATATATATATATATATATATATATATATATATATATATATATATATATATTTTTTTTTTTTTTTTTCCAAGTGTACGCTAATCATGAATCATTCTTACTATAGTCCATACCGCGTGGCGTTGGTAGTCATTTCTAAGATTGTCTAAGTCATGTCTAAGATTGTCACAAAACTGTAGTATCTAATTCATGCAACAATGTATATACTAGGGCTGTACCGAATAGTTTTTTTAACTATTCGGCCGAATACGAATAGCGGGACCAACTATTCGGCCGAATACGAATACGAATAGTGTATCATTATCATCAGGTGCCTAGCCGACGGGCGTGGGCGATTATGCCTCGCCACAATCTGCGATCTCCTGCAGCATGTATTAGTTCCTGTGCTGACACACCTCCATGCCATGCAACAAGACTGTCAAGAATTTTCTCTCGTTGTTTTACTCTATCCCTCCTTTCACAGATCTTTCCAGTGGTCACTTCTCATAACATGGCCGAAAAATGATGACTATTTCCTTCTGATGTCTGTGATTAGTTGCCTTTGGGCTCCGGCCTCTTTCAAAACCTCTTGGTTGCTTTTTTGGGCTGTCTAAGCATTGTTCTGTAAAACCAATCTCTGTAGGCCAGAAGAAATTGTTTGGCCTGCCTACCGATTGTACAGGACTCACAGCCATATATTAAAACTGGATGGATGTAGCAAGGAAGAATTCCTTTTCTAACCTTCAATGACAAAGATGTATTGCATACGATGTTCTTCATTTTATAAAATGCAAGTTTTTGCCTGTCCTGATCTGTTTCTTATTTCAGTAATGCATCTTATATCTGATGTTATCCATGCGCCCAGAAACTTACATTTCTGTACTTGTCCCAAAATAACACGATTGACTTTTATTACACATTAAGAAATATTTTTTTCTTGATACCACCATTACTTCTGTCTTCCCACTATTCACTATTCCCACTGAGGCCCATTCTTCCACTTTCGAATAGTGTATATTGTATAAAATAGATCTAAAAAAACATTCAAAATGTCAAATGTACGCTGAAATTTCACTTTACAAAATGTAGTACAGTGTAGTCAACATAAACATTTTATGTTTTGCATTCTTCAGTCAGTCAGTCCGTGGTAACTAATAACTCGGAATGAAAGTATTCTTAGTTTTGTAACAAGTAACTAACCTTGTAAAATGTCTCTGAAAGCTTAGTTAATGCATGAAAGCGGCATTAGCTTTCAACAAAACCAATCGTTCCATGTTGTGAGCATTAAGGCAGCTTCTCGTCTCACTGAAGCTATTTCCATCTGTACTAAACAACAGACGCTCAAAGGTTGTGCACAAAGATAACGCTTGACCATATGAACGAAGCTGAGAAATCTTGACATGTTTATTTTCCACCAGTCCAGTGGGTCAGTGTACTTTAGGATACACGGCTCGGACAGGTAGTTATTCACTTCTGTTTCAATGGTAACACGAATGTCGCTATTCTGTACCTTCTGTACCTATTGTGTTAAAAGAGAGAGTTATTTCAGTCTATCGCAGTGTATGCAGAAACGGGTGTAAGGTAGCCACTATTCGTATTCGGCCCGAACCGCAACTATTCGGCCGAATACCGAATAGTTATTAGGTCCACTATTCGGCCCCGTAGCGAATACGAAGCGAATATTCGGTACAGCCCTAGTATATACATTTTTTTCCACAAATGTAAACTAATCACGAATCATTCTTACTAAAGTCAGTGCCGTGTGGTGTTGGTAGTCATGACTATCTACAAGTCTACCCATAACCCTCTGTCTCATGTACTTTCAGTCAATTTTGACACAGATGATTTCAATAACTAATGTCTCATTCCCTGATTTGCGTACAGTAGTCGGATGAGGGTCTGCTTGCACCTGTAGCATTTGCAGGTCCCTACCGGATGCATTTTCTAAATATATTTTCCTACAGATGGAACCTCGAAACAATCGAGAGGGTCGACTTCATTGCATCGCATCTTACCCCACATGGCTCAGTCTTTCAGAAAAATTGTTTCCCTCTGTGACTGCATGTCAGTCCTCCGTGCGACTCAGAGGGATCTACGAGAAAACATGGAAAGAGAACTGGACCTGCCAGCTAAACAGACTCACAGAAAATAATTAAATCGTTCTCTTGTGGATCCCGGCTCACTGCGGTATACCAGGAATTGAGTAGCAGACAGACTTGCTAAAAATTGAAAAAAGGAAAAACTACACACCCATCCATTGTCGCTACCAGAAATCAGAAGACTTATCAAGAGAAAATACAAGGAATTGTGGAGAGAACAAACTAACAGTAAACATCCACAAGACCCCATCAACAAACTTAACAGAAAGCAACATACAAGAATGTTTCGTCTACGAACAGGACACTGCAGGCTCAACTACCACATGCATAAAATAAAGACTGTGCAGTTGCCACAGTGTGCCTGCCAAACATGACCACAAACACCTGAGCACATTCTGCAGACCTGCCACACACTACCTACAACTTAGAAAAGACACCTGGCCTCAAGAGCAAAGTATGCAGAGCAAGCTATGGGGAACCACGAAGGACCTGCTACTGACATGCCAGTTCATAGAGGCAACCCACCTGATGGTCTGATCTGAACATACGAAACCGAACGCCAAAGAAGAAGAAGAAGAACCAAGTAAAAATCGATAGGGTCTACTTCATTGCATTGCATCTTACCCCACATGGATCAGTCTCTCTCAGCAGAGCAGCGATGATCACTGGGATTCTTCATAACTGCACTTGTGAATTCAGTGATGCGTCCGTGAAACGAAACCACTGCCTTCAGAGAGAGAAAGCTAAACTTGACCACTTTGACCCAGTGATCCAAGCATGGACTACAGATTGTCAGAAAACTGTAATATGTAATTCATGCAGCCATAAGCCTTTCAAGTGTACACACATTTTTTTTTTTTTTTTTCGAACACATCTGATCGCTAATTATATTACACATGTTATCAACGTCCAATTGTTTTCAAAAACACCTTAAATTCCTTTTTAATGCTTTTCATTCCTTTTCAATGTCAATGTACCTCTGCTTGAAATGTGGTCTGAAACGTAAGCTTGAAAGAGGGATTTGTTTTATGAGTTGGGATAGAAACCAATTGTATAACTTTATAAGGCATTCAAAAGATTACATACTTGGATTCATGAGAAATATTGCACAGGAACATCTTTCTTGTTGGGAACAATAAAATTTTCAAAACAATGTTTTCCCTTAATTAATTTTATTTAATGGGTGAAAAAACAACACAATATGTTGCTAGATATAAGTAAGTAAGTAAACACTCGGTGGCAAAAATTGCTACCATGCGGATGAGGATCACCCTTGAAGAGTTCCCAGAAACCACGTTCAAGCATTAGGTTATATCGCGGCCCCTGGCAACAGCCAGGGTGAGGCTTTAAAACTACGAAAAATTGCATCCCACAAGGGGGATGGCGAAGAATATGTTGCTACATATATTTCCCTTCATCTCTTGACATCAGACAAGTGAATGCTGTAACTGGCTAAAGCTGTAACCATTAAAAAAATTATCAACTTGTCTTATGTAGGCAGAAGGAATCCATAATCAATATCACGTTAAGCTGGGAAGAAAGGCAGAATAAACATTTAGGAAGTAGCTTCTAAAGGAACAAACCGATTGAACTATTTGACAAGCAGACTGTTTTACGTAGATGTCCCTACGAGACGAGAGTGATGTCCCTTCCTTGCAGACATTATCCATTATTGACATTATTGTAGGTTTTTTTTTTTTTAAACTTGTTACACTAATAAAACACAATTAACCAAAATAACTATTTTCATGGCACAGGTACATAAGGCATGTGACGCTAGACTCTCAACATCAGTCGTCTTTACTTCTCATGACACTTTCTCGTTATCACAGAAAAAGATAGGCTAATCGGCAAAACAACCGTCTAGCAACTGAGCTACGGGAGCATACCACCGGAATTCAACATTAAAGCTGGTTTTAGTTTACATGAACATAAAAGCAAGTGTGACACAGTGTTTCACAATTAATGTTGATTGATATGCATTATTGTAAGATTGTGTGACACAATTTTTCAGTCAGTATTGTTTCAAGTGCATTATTATACGATTGTGTGGCACCGCATTGTTCAATTAACGTTGTTTAATGTGCATTGCTGTAGGATTGTGTGACACAGCAGGTTACATTAAGTTTTGGTTAATGTGCATTGTTGTAAGATTGTGTGACACAGCAGGTTACATTAGGTTTTGGTTAATGTGCATTGTTGTAAGATTGTGTGGCATTTTTTAAAACAATTATTGCTGATAAGTGTGTATTACTTTAGGATTGTTTGACACAGTTTTGCACTATAATTGCTGCTTAATGGGCATTATTGGGCAGTTGCAGGAAAAATACCAAAAACGGCTCAATTTTTTTGAAAATTTAGTCAGCTATTGACATGGAGCAAGCAATTATTTTTACAATGTACCAGCTCTTAATTATTTCGGTAATGGATAATGGACTGGTGCCTCCCACCCTATCAAAGAGCCAATCAGTGACGCTTGAAAGCATAGATAATGCAAAAGTAAAAGAAAAAAAGACTACTTTTCAAGCCTTAGGCGCATCGGGCATATGGGAAGAGCATCCCATATTTTTACAAACAGTCGGCACTAGGTGGGTAATGTGGTCAGCATTAGGCCGGCCGTCTTTACTTCCCCAGGACATACATCCTGGTACCCATTTTAGGCTGGGTCGACCTGCGACACCCCATACCATGTTAAAAATCCACGCAGCCAGCAGTGGGTTTCGATCGCGGTACTTTGGAAACGAGTCGGACTCGCAACGTTTAAGCCACGGACTCCGCAGATAATGTAGCCATAGGGTTTTTTCTAGGATGCCATACATCCTTGCATTAGCGACTATCGCAGAGAAGTTCAAAGTGTTAAGTTATATCTCAGGGTAACTAGCTAAAGTTTACAGG